GTAAGTTGTATTCAATTACAAACATAATAATCATTTACTTAAAAAAGCAAAGATTATCATTTTGTTCGATAAAAATGATTATCTATTAAGATAGCGATGTTAATAAAAAGAAGGCAAAATTTGTTTTACAAACTTTTGTTTTACGCCAGCCTTGGCGTCTGAAAGTGCCGGTAGTGGCGTTGCGTTAGTTATCTGAACGCTGTAATGTGTAGCGGTTTGCGAATGTCTGCTAAAACTTGAAATGGTGGTTCTGCTACGCTACATATAGTGGAGGACGTAGCGGATTGCGGATAGCGTAGCGGGAATGACGGAACGATCTACTGAATCACTCTCATCAAGTCTTGGAGACTGGCGCAGTCCCACCATCCTTCAAACGAGGACGTGGACGCTACCTTGCTACCAAAAGAAGGGGTGTCCCCTCTGATCCTGCGGCGTGGCGACCCATTTCCTTGTCAAACATCGAATATAAGATGGTCGCGTCGTTGCTCGTCAAGCGCCTTCGCCTCGTCCTATCAGAGGTCGACAGTACGTTGCAGGTGTGCTCTTTACCCGAGAGAAATATATTTTCTTCGTTGTCCGTAAACTGGAGAGCTTTTTGCGTACGGAAACTTCACCGGTTTGTCGGAGACCTTCGTCTCCCTCGTGCAGGTGAAAGCCTTCGACCGGGTCGAACACTTCTTTATCCTTGGAGATTTCGCGAGCCTTTGGTTTCGCAGATACTTTCATATCCTTAATTTAGTCACTGTACAGTGATCTGACCAGCGACCAGGCAGGTGGCCAGGATTTTATTTCGGGGGGGGGGGGGGGGGGGGGGGGGGGCATGATAGAATGGTGTATGATGGGGAGGGGAGAAAGGAGGTCCCAGCAAAATGGAAGAATCCGAAAGCGAGCCCCATGCCCCCGCCCCCCTGGCTACGTGCCTGCCAGCGACCTACAAGTGAACGGAGGAATTCCGTATAGCCGTTTCCCGTCACTCGGGGAGTTCGACAGAGCTACCCCTTTCCTAGTTTCTGTACGTCCTCAGCCTGGATCCGTTGCTTCGACGTCTTGCGACGTGGCTCAGATACGTGGCTTTCCGTTGATCGGCCGAGACACAATGGCTGTTGCCGCGTACGCTGATGACGTCAGCTTGTTCCTTCGAGACTCCGGGAGCTTCGATGCTGCTGCATACACTCTCCTAGAATACGGTGCCCTCTCCAAAGCTCTTTTAAACTCTTCGAAGGGTAGAGTCCGAATGTTCGATGGCAGCTCTCCAACTCTGTCGGCGGGCCTGTAGGTCATGTCCGAAGATAGTGTCCTAGGCGTCACCTTCAACCCTCGTGGAATAGCGCCCCGTAACTCGGAAGTTATTCTTGCCGCGTTAGAGCGTCAGGTCGCTGCCGCGGAAGACGTCAAACTTTCGCTCCGCGACAGAGCATACTTGGTGAAGGTAGTTTTTTGTGGACAACTGTCTTTCGTCTCCCTCGTCGCTGTCCCTCCGTCTCGGCTCGCCCGGCGAAATGATCACCACCGGTTGTACTGGAAAAAGGGGGCGGGGGGGGGGGGGGGGAGGGGAGGCACGGAGCTGGTGACCCAGTCGGTGCTCCACCTACCGACGTCTCTTGAGGACAAAGGTACGCGCTGTGTGGAGACTGCGTCCCGTCTTCATGCCCTCGACACAATTCTTGGGGTGCTAGAAGAGCTGGAGCACCCAGCTCATTTTCTGGCGCTATATTCCTTGGGGCCCTCGCGTTGGGTTCTCTTTTCCCGCGCTCTGGGTAACCTCTAGCCGAGCGCGGAGACGACCCTGCTTTTACCGAAGGGCGGATGGGCTCTCCGACCAATTGAGATACTCGTAGCCGTACCTCTCAGTACGTGACGTTTCTCCTGCCCTGGTAATGAAGGAACTCTCCGCAGCTCGCATCACAGCCGAGGAGTGCGCGCGAGCCACCGCGTTTCCATGGTCCTCACTCGTTTCCCGCCGTTTCCTTGCATCTGTGAATGACTTTCAGTGGCGCTGGGGTTGGGAGGTTCGGCCACCGTAGGTCCGGCCCACAAAGCATCGCCTCCATAGCTGGGGCATGGTGCCCAGCCCACACTGCTCCTACTGTTGGCAGGTGGAACCGAACCTCCGCGTCTTTCGGGACTCTTCGGTGGCGTGCTCCTCCTGAGGCCTAGTACATCATGACTTTCGGACGTTGGGCCCAAGAAACTATGTCAACCACGGCCGGAGCCCATGGGTTCCGGCCGTGGTTGACATGGCCGTGGTTACTGCTCATGGCCATTGGACAGCATGCTCTGGCTAAATCGATGTTCTGGACTGGATAAGAACCGGTGAACCCGAGCAATGTCGCCCCTCCTCTCCCGGTTGCGTGGAGCTTTGTACCGGCTTCTGGATTCAGAGCTATTCTGGCTGGGAGAGGAGGAGTTTCCGCGGCGATGCTCGTTTCGTTACGGCCCACTTGACCATGAATGAGCCGTCTTGGTTTTCGCGTCTCCACATATGCCTGAGTGATGTCCGCCCTCACCCGCTGTTCTAGCCCCTCTGTGCACTCCTCTCGCTGTGTTTGAAGTGCTGTCCTAGTTTGTTTCTTTTCTTTTGCCTTGTAGGCTAAGAGCTAAAAACCTATAGTTTTCCGGATAGCAGATCATGTCCCCTCAAGATATGTCAGTTCTGCCACTCTCCGTTCAAGGTGAAGTGCATTGTTTTATCACAGTGACCAAGTCCATCACTGCCCTTTGCACAGAGTGTAAATAAAATTCTCTATCCAGACAGTCGCCTTGCGAGGTTTTGGTCGTCTGTATGTTAGTATTTGTTTGTGTTCGGCTAGTAGGCAGGGAAGGCAATGGCGATGCTTTCCCAGGTTCCAGTGACTTTAGCGCACACCAGCTCGGAGCACGTGGATCAAAAGCTTGAGCTGCAGATCCCAAGGATCCCGAGTTCAATTCTTACCCCTGCTCGTTTCGATCTGGATGAGCATCGTACCGGCACGCGGTCGTGTATCACTACTGCGTGGTGCACGTTAAAGACCACAGGCTAGCGGTTGTCCCGCACTGCTTAAATTGCTCATCTACAGCTCAGACACTAGACATATATTGAGGCAGACTAACAGCCGGCTGTATAACTGTACAGACACTAATTTAATGTTTTGTTATTTTACCTTTGCCGACTGAGCGCGGGAAAAAAAATGGGGAATAACACGTGCCCCATCTCTGTTCCGCGCTTCATCGAAAAAGATAAAATTAAGAATTCGGTGCTCATGCCTTGTATTACTAGACATAAAACTCTGGGAAAACATCGAAAAAGAGGTGAAAGCCGTTTACAACTCCCTGTAACGCCGAACTAGAGCGCAGCTCTTGAGGAGGAGGAGGGAAGGGTACTAAGGGGGGGGGGTCACGTGACGTGCCCCCCCCCCCCCCCCACCCCCGAGGTCCTCCCGAAGGAACCCGAAGTCCTCCCGAGCGCCTCGGTGGGAGGGGGGGGGGGGGGGGGGGGCTCGCGGTTACGCCGACGCCGACGCGGCTCAAGTCAGAAACGGGCGCCTAAGAACTGCGCTCTAAAAAAATTTCAGCCTTTCCAACCTGGTGAAGTAGGAAGACCAGCGAAGCTGTATTATGGTGGGAATGAAGTAATGGCCGGCCGCAGGTAGGCAAGCCAGAGTGGAATGGCTTGAAAAGGTTGCCGCCATCTATAAGCGACGGCGAAAACCAGAAAAACGGCAAGCCGATTGTCTGGTTGCCGCCGTCATTCATAGATGGCGGAAGCGGTCCAGAGTTCTGTGTCATTTGGTTATTTTAGGACGGACACGATCCTGGGGAAACTAGCCCTTAACAGCTCGCTGCAAAGAAGCCTGGACTCCGCCCCCTATAATTCGGTCTCCCCGCCAATAGCGATGTGAAAGGTTCTTGGAAGCGCATGTCGACGGAGCGCGTATAAGAGGCGCATGTCTCGCATGTTCGCACAACGATGTTTGTGTGCCTGCAAGAAACGCTAAACTTGGATTTTATCAAAAGGTTTTACAGCTAACTAAATCCTCTTGGTGTATTCGCATGCGTCTTATAAGTAGCGTCGAATGGGCCAGCGCCAAGGACCCTGCCTTGTGTGGCGCTTGGATGCGACTGGCGGCACAACACTGAAATCAGCGGCCTTTGCAACCGAACGGTGCCAGAAAACTCGCTCGTAACATGTCTTGCGCGCTCCCATAATAATATTTCGCGGAACTTGTAAGGAACGCAAAGCGTGTTTAGGGGTCTTTACGCCTAACTGAATCTTGACAACGATAACACTTTGACGCATTGATTAATAAATGGCAACTAAATGTATAGAACTAGCTTTAAACTCAACAGATAATTGCACAACCATATCGATTCCCTATAGCCTGCCCCACCCTCGTCGACGTCATGTCGGGGTTCCTATGGCCGCCGTACACGACTGTAGGTGGGTAAATAATCTGTTCTTGGCACTGCAGTTTCACGGTGGAATCATGGTATTTCAGGGAAAAGCATGGTGTTTCCTTTTAAATTTGTTAAGATTGACAAGATAGAAGTAACAGGCTGCCGATTCCTGCAGCGCTAAAATCGTTGCACTGCCCCTCTCACTAAATTCAGAGAAAGGTACCACTTGAATACACAGAGACAATAGCGAGGATTAAAATATTTTTTTTATCCTTTGTAAATGGATTGTAATGTTTGCTTCTACTTGCTCGCCACTTTTTATTCTAAAGGCACGAATGTGGTTTATATGTGTACGTGGCTTGTATGTCCTTTACCTTTTTGTGGATTTCCGTTTATCTCGCTAATTGATACAGTCATTATAAATTAGTGTTGAAAAAGATTATACGTTTTCTTATTTCTAGCGGATCCGACAGATGGGAATGTAACGAAAAAAAGTCACGAAATAAGATTGTTGTAATGAATTTTTATTTTTTTTGTCCAAGTTGTTATTTAAGCTAACCGTCTGAGCGTTACATGATGCTCTCAAGGCTTCATGCTTGAGCAAGGTATGTATTTCACCGGGGAAGTCATTTTCCTCTCACACATATATGTGTCCTGCTTGAAAAGTCCCGACATTGCAGACCTGAAAGGAAGTATTGGATCTCATAAATGTGCATACAAAGTAAGTGCGTCTTTTGGAAATTAAATACACCTTTGAAATCACCAGAAAGTTTTACATACCTTTAAAATATTTGTTCAAAGATTACGCATTATATTCTTTCGAGCTTATTTGCGTGTCTTCGCGTGACTTAAGTCTGAAGTTTTGATCGTCGTGCAGTTGCTTTCTTTAAAATTTTGAGAATAACTAACCACATTAATACCAAACCTACTTAAAGCGTCGTCACAAATTTTTTTGGCATCATATCGTTTCGGGTTTCTTTTAAATTATATTAATTACATCTCAGTAGTGAACCCCCAGCAATCTTTTTCACTCTGAAGCCTAAAGCCGAGGTCGCACTGCTCACACATTATAGAAACGATAGTCTGCATGCATGAGTAAGCGCAATTCCGTGGTTCGTATGCCTCGTGCAAAGTTTTCTCCTTGAACTCATTGCCATACGGCATTCGAAGCACGGATCTCGCGGTGACCTTCGTTCGAATCTGTATGTAGACTGTCGTTTGTATGATTTATAAGTAGTGTTACCCCGGTTTGAAAGTATCAGCCAACATTTCGCCAAGAGAAAGTCTTGCAGCTTAACGTTCCGTCCCCTTTTATGCTTCCACTCAGAGGCTTAGCTTGGAAAATAATTTAAATGGACAAATAAAAGCTGGACTGCCCGTGGAAGGTTTTCGGGGTGTTTTGGTTTAGATTTTATCTACAGATTTGCCTTCATTCATGCTTTGCTTAGAGTTGTATACACGAAATATTAATCTAACCTCTTTCAGAAGCTTCATCTTCGCAGTGGGGAAACCACCGCCCATATGCTACACAACTTTGCGTGACAACGCCCCAAATATTGTTAAAGTCCTCAACATTATATAATAATTATCAGTGACAAAGCAAGCTTCCTGAGCACCGCAAAACTGACGAAAACATCAGTGTTCCAAATTTACCCCATAAAAAAGAAAAATAGAAGAAATGACGCCCTCTGCAGCGCCGACCACAACTTTGAAGGAATTCTATTCGCACACAAAAAGGGACGTAGCAGTCACCTGGTTTGCACGGACAGTGCTCCGTGTAGATGCCACCTTTAATTGATTCCTCCGAACACACTTGTCCGAATTGTCCTAAATTCTCGCATGTGCGCGAGTGCCTGCGACTTGATTGTACACAGCACGTGCCATTCTTGCAATCGAAGCCGGTGGTGCACGGATCGCCCACGTCTCCAGGACTGGCAGGTTTACCGCCAGGGGGAAACACCCCTATTGAAAATCGCTCTGATGGGACTTCAGGATTTTTTTAAAGGGTGTGAAAGGGACTTCAGGAATTCTTGTGATGTTTGAAAGGTGCACCGATATTTCCTGGTGGGTTCGTTGGCCCCGTCAGAGGCTCTCCTGAAATGTCTGAAGTCCCCTTTACAATGCCTTGAAATGTCTGGAAGCCTGTCAAGAACTTTTCTAATGGGGTCGGGAAAACCTTCAGGCTTCTTGAGATGTCGGCGGGCCACGGCTTAGGTCGAGAAAACACATTTCGCAGAATTAGAATATAGCCTTATTGTGCGCTACGGGGAAAAAAGTATTTGGAGAATGCCGATCGTATGTATGTACGGTCAGATTTGTAGTACTGCTCTTCTATCAAATACGAGTGGGCCGTCTGTCACTGCCCGGGGGTTCGGTCGCCAAGGAGGCCACTGAGGGCGACCGCCCCACGTAGAGAATCAACGAGCCGCTGGCCGAGTGGTGGTGACCGAGCGGCGTTTTGAGGCGAACGCAATCCTGTCCGCTGGAGGCGAAATCCGTGGAACCTTAAATAAAAAAAAAAAAAAATAAACAAGCTGCGCGCTTTCCAGAAAGAGGGACCCACGCGGAAGCGACTCGTTCCGGGAACCGGTTCTTCCACGGGAGACGGTCCCCAAAAGCAAGTCACACTGCCCCTCTCTCCGCCCGGCGATGGGGAGAGGGTGCAGGGCTGCCAGCCCAGCGGTCGGCGGGAGAGGGTGGTGTGTGCAAGCGGGGGAGGCCAGCCGCCAGTACAGCCATTTTCTCTCTGCTCGTGGACAGTTCCGGTTAGCCCACACAGCGGATTTTTGGAGCGGACCAATTTCCTCCAGCAAGGTGAGCATGCATGCCTTTCAGGGCTCGCCCCTTGGTCTCTTTTGATTGTTCCTTGGTTCCGCAGGTGCACCATAGTTCGGCGCTGGCCGCCTTCAGCACCGTTCGAGCGCCGTCGTGTTCAGCGCATTCAAGGAGATGGTGGCCGGTGTCGGCTTACTCGCTGCAAAGCCTGGCAGTCGGGGTCAGCGTCCCACCGCATGTTGTGCCTGCGCACCGGGATTATGGCGCTGTGGGCCCTGAGACGGTGGATGACGGTCGCTGTCCGGACTTGGTTTTTGCGCCTCTTCGTCCGTCCGACTTCAGAAGCATCCAGCGAGCGAAAAATACGCCGAAGACGCCGGCGTATTGTCATCATGGACGAAACCGTGACTGTGCTCGGGATTTCTCAACGGCGGCGGGTGCTAGCGCTTGCGACTTCGTGGTTTTCGCTAAACGCGCTTACTAAGACTGTGTATGTGTACGTGAGGTGCACCTGCTCGGTTTTATTAGCTGAACTACCACACATCAGGAATATACCCAGCGGCATTGTGAGTACTTCGAAATATATTTTTCTTTGTGATAATGAAGTCAGTTGTCCCTGTTTGATGTGATCTCTTTCGTCTACCGCTCGTTGCGCCGGGTTTCAACAAACGTTGCTTTTTATCACCTTTTTGAGTTATAATATGCATGTAAAACTAAATGTCTGCAATAAATTTTGAATAACGTTTTGAACTGCATTTTGTCTATGGTTCACAGTCATTTGCGCGTCTAAAGGGGTGATGGGCTAAAGGGTCTGACGGGTTGAAGGGCTGTGGGGCTAAAGGGTTTTTCTATGGGGCATCCCTGAAGGGTTTTTCTGTAGGGTATTTTTGAAGGGTTTTGAAGGCCTGTGAGGTCCCATAATCCTTCAAGGCTGACGGGCCCTTTAGAAATATTTTCAATAGGGACTGGGCGCTGTCCCTGTAAAGTAGAAAATAAAAAAAAAAAACCGACACGGTTTTATGTTAACAGCACGGCCTGGTAAAATCTTAAGAATTTTGCTTTATGTTTTAATTAACCGAGGATGTGAAGTGATTCCAATCATGTCACGTCCAAGGCAGACCTCCGCTTTCCACATCCTCCTCACGCCACTATCTAACTTAACCACAGTCTCATACTTTGATAATCGTACCTTACTCGCGTATGTACATATAGCGAATCAAGTGCTACAATAGGTTCCAACCTATGCTCTAAATCCCTGCACAATTTGAGGGCATCAATGTTGAAAACGTGGACCTTTTGCTTATCGAAAACCGGCAATTGCACGTGGTACAATAGGTTCCAACCTATGCTCTGAATCCCTGCACAATTAGAGGGCATCAGGGTTGAAAACGTGGATCTTTTGTTTATCGTGTCTGTTTTTGTCCCGCTGTTTGTTTTGTGCTTTCTTACTGTTACATCTGTCCCAACACGCTCGTCAAAGTCTTCTGAAAGAGCATGCTTGGTATTCCAGCAAAACTTCTGCGGTATCGATTGTGAGCCAACATGTAACATTACGGCCAGATTGTGTCAATAAAGTTTGAACTCCGTGGAGCGAAACAAAGACACGAATTTCGCCCGGCGGCTTTCGCTCTGCGCGTGACATCAATCAGTGCAGTAACTGCTGCGTCACGCGCAAAGCGAGCGTAACGCCGGGCGAACTTCGTCAGTTACTCGTCGCATATTTGCTCCATGGAGTTCAGCGTTAACTTTAGGCGTCGAATCAATTGTCAGCCATGGGTATACTGGACTCAACTGCAATAAATGTACTCTGTTTGCTGCTTTACCAGGGACAAGGCGCCACTTAACAATCCAAGTCCCCAGGCCCAAAAAAAGGTTGCAAAAAAGCAGTGTGTGGAGAGTTGTACATAATGAAAGCCCAGAAGGGTGCTTGAAGACAACAATTTGTATAAAGGTGTACGGGTTTTAAACAAAAATAAAATGTTTCCTCAAATATTTTTAAAGGGATAACTTACCTCAAAAAAAGCAGTGACTTCTGGCAGCAGTGCCGTTATGATGACGGTCAACACCAGAGCTGTGCAAAGTGTCTTCATGGCCTTGTTTTTGTGTTCGGCTCGCAGGAATAGTTTAACCGAACCCCAACCCCAGCCTCCTTTTATAGAAAGATCCTCTCCGCGTCCTCTCTATAGTTTCTCGCGCATATTGATTGAAAATAAATATAAAGATAAAAATCATTGCCTTCCAGCTGTGAATATATGACGATGGATTCTTATGAAGTCACATTAAAACACAATGTACATTTGCAAAAATATTCTTAGATAGAGTGTCAGGACGGCGATAGCGGTCGATTGTTCGTGAAAGTTACTTTTTGAGCTCACCCACCGATGTGCGTCATCGTGACGCACATCGAGGGTCGTAGACTTTCGTAACTTTCTCGGAAGAAGACAATTGGATCTCAAGCCATAGCCTTGCAGACACGCATTGTTCGGGACCTAACTGTCAACTAACAACTAATCAACAAAACAAATTTTCAACATTCTGGACACCCAAAGGACGACAAAGCTCAAAATAGTGCACAATCCTATGAGAAAAAAAGTTTGACGTTATTAATCTACATTAAAAACGTGCGTGGCCCAAGAAAGGTTCTCCGTGGTATCTCGAAACCGACAGGTAGGGTGTCTGAAGGGGTGACGTTTGTTTCAACATATTGTTGCCGATTGCGTAACAAAGTGCCAGTTCATTAAACGAGCTTTGATATTAGAAAAATTTGTTTGTGTTTCAATTTGCCATAGACCACCATCACAAACACTTCATTGCCTGCAGTGACTGTAAAGCACTGCTCCTTAGATTCCCATGCCAATAATTTAATTAAAGATGAATGAATAGTGGTGACTGATCGGCCTTCTCTTAAGCCATACTAGATTGCTATAATAAAGTAAATGCTATATATTCGTGTACTTGCATCGACGTGCACAATCAATTAGCTTACGCGAGATAGATGAGAATGAAAAAAAACCTGCAGTTTGTAATACGAAAATGTTATTAAAGATGTAAAAAGACCTGTGCCAAAAGTCAATTTAAAAATCGAAACTTATAGAAAGAGAAGCTCAGAACATCAAAGTAAATGCTGTGGTAGCTTATCTGTGCATCCGTTTAAAATTTAGGTGTTAGGTTGGGTAATATAACAGAATATTAAATATTCTTCTACAAAACAATACGAATTCGTCAAAATCTTATTATTGCGGCTGACTGAGAAAACGCTTACTGAATATAATTTAAAAAAATTACCGCGCAAATAGTTGATTATGCAGAATTTTAAGATTATTCCCTTTAACATTCACATTCAAAGTAAAATTCAGATTATTTTCGTCTGTACATTTTTACAGGCGACGGGAGACGTGGGGAAAAAGCCAGCATATGTTGGCTTGACAAGGCCCATCAAACTTTCCTCGGCAAAGGCAGAGAGACACTAAAAAAATATAAAAAACACAATCTAACTGCAAAGAACAACATTAAACAAATATAAAACTCAAAAACATGAAAAAGTTGATCATTGCTACAGTCTTCACACGTCTCAGTATGTTACGTAAACATAATTTTTATAAAATGTGGTGGTAGCGTTTTAGCAGTGACGTTGCTTCCTAATAACTCATTTAGTTATGATGGGAGGTTACGTCTTAGCATCTAGGTTCCGTAATATGTCTTGCGTTGTGGTATTTTGCAAGCGTCCGTATTATCAATGGTATATAAATTTTAAATTTGCGTTAAATCTGCTATTTGGTCAATTATGTACATATTAATTTTTCTGCTTTTAATGAGTCTGAGAATTAAGGTGTAATCAAAGAGATGGATGATTAGAAACATGTGCAGTCCTTTTAAAATTTTGAATGTGCAATATGGTACATTACTGGTAGACCGAATGGCCTTTTTTGGAGAACATGAAGTTTGTTTATGTTAGTTGCTGTTTGTGGGGACCCCAAGAGAGATGATAAGAATTTAGATGTGAAGCGAGCAGATAGTTGTCCTTGAGTAATTTAATGATTACCTATCTTATTTTTTTATGTGAAAATACCAAGCAAATCTCGATGGTCCGTTTTTTATGACGTAGACTGTATTATAATTAAACAAATAAAATACTTTGATCTGCACGCTGGAAGCCTGTTCAGTGATTGCGGGAACGCCCGTGAGAAAAACAACAACCGTGGTTGGCACCCGAAGTGCATGCTGCTTCTATGGGTTTTTTGTCGCACAAACTTTAAAATCATATCGATTTTTTTTGTAAGTCGCTCCATATGCAGCTTAAAAGAAGCATCACTAGAAATGACGCTCTTTGCTGCATCGATCGCAACATTGTCAAAATTCTACTTGATTCGCATAAAAAAGGACACTGCGATCACCTAGGTTCCACGGATGGTGTTCCTTGTCCTTGATTGGATATTCCGAACAGCGTTCTTTGTGCTTCCCCAAAAGCTTGCAAGTGCGAGAATTGCCGTCACATAATTCTAAACAGCACGTGCTGTTAGCAAAAAAAAAAAAAAAAAAAAAACTGGGTTGTGTTTACGTTTATAAAGCCTAGAACTTGTTCTGTCTCATATGGGCGACGAGTCTTCCAGTTGTAGATGAGAAACTTAGCCAGTGCAGTACAACCGCTAACCTGGGGTCTTTAACGTGCATTACGCAGTAGTGATACACGACCGCACGCCGGTACGATGCTCATCCAGATCGAAACGGGCAGGGGTGGGGATGGAACCCAAAATCGTGCAACGCGAGCTCTCTCTCCGCGTTAAGGCTTGTTCAAGGCTCGTTCACAGAGACCCGTTTTCTTACGTTACGTTACGAAACGTCACCGGGAAATTTTTGCTTTGTATTAAGCGTGGGTACCAATTCAAGGAGATAGCCTGGCACGCGACATTCGAGAAACGAATGTTTCGGTGACGACGAGCTAGGACGGTGAGTTACCGTGGCAACCAAGGACGCAAGGCTCGTCGTAACGGAACGTAAGGAGTCGAGCTCGGTTCAACATTTCACGCAGCACCATTTCCTTACGTTACGTCTAAGTCACCGAAACATTCGTTTCTCCAATGTCGTGTGCCAGGCGATCTCCTTGAATTGGTTGCCATGCTTAATACGAAGCACACATTTCCCGGTGTCTTTTCGTAACGTAACGTAAGAAAACGGGTCTGTGTGAACCACGTGTTGTGAACGAGCCTTTACTAGTTCAATGTATCCGCGTGCTCCGAGCTGGTGTTGCCCAGCCCACTCGGCCACCAATCCCCCTACGTGCTGTTATAAAGATTAGCGGCCACGTTGCACGGGCTTTACAGCGAAGCTGTATACTTCTACCAGCCAAGGAAATTTTCGTGTCGTTAGAGTTGTAAGCAAAAAACTCCCGGCCAACAATTGAAGGCAAAACAGGATATTTCCTTTGAAATCAGGCGCAACAGCATAGGGCTCAGTATCCGTTTCAATAAAGAAAACCGCAAAACTAGCATCGAAACCACATGTTGGAGGATAAGGCGCGTGTGAACAATAGGAACGCCCTTCCACGCGTTCCGGTAAAGATTAGGTTTGCAGCTGCTTCGAAAGGGGTTGACGTCATTACCTGCCGCGGCGACGGCAGCTTGCGACGTGGGGAGTGACGTCACCAGCCTTTCATACATAAAAGAAGAACCCGCCTAATACTCCTTTTCTCCTTACGTCCGAACGCAGCGGAGGCTACGAGCTCTCTTAGCCCATCCCGTTCTGTGGACGTGGCCCGTGATACGTTTTCCGCGCGTCGCTTTGCCCCCTCTCTAAGGTCACGTGATACTCACACGCCCTCCGATTGGCTCCGATGGCTCGTGACATCCGCTGCGCTTAAACGTAAAATGAAACGGAGTATAGCAACTGATTTTACTGTTGCTGCAGTACTGCGATGAATAGGCCACGCGTAGTCAGGACTCCCGAGGAGCAGAGTGGATACTAGGAGCGGCAAAGGGAAAAGAAACGGCAATACGACCAACAGCGGCGTGCTACGACCGACGGCGGCATTTCGTATAGTGCAGTAGGCAATCGTTGCAGGTGGTACCACAGTTTCGCTGAGTAACCATCTTCACAGCATGGATTGGAGCCCCAACTTTTATTTGTTAATTAACAGATTATAGGTAATCATTTAATTGTCTCATTTATTGCGACAATTAACCTCCATCTTCTCCTGGCCATATGACTCATTTATAGTAACCGAATTAGTGGAGCCTTCACGGCTTTTTAAGACGAATCTGCAAAGCCTAAAACACCCTGTGTATTTCCCATAATAGCTCCCTCTTCAGCAATGAAATATTAAAGGATGACGAAGATACGTTGCCCTAAATCAGTTCAGTGATTTTTATTCAGCCTTTTTCTTTTTCTCGCCCGGAGACACTGCAGTGCTAGCAAAGCGAATAAAAATGTTCCCCATAAAAGGCAGGCCTTTTTTATGTTTACCAATGTCAGAATAATCTGACCGATAGTGCTCTTTTACAGGTGTCACCTAGAAGACGAGGCATGGGCCGGCTGGCTAGAACAGTGTCTCAGCTGAGACAGTGGATGAAAAAACAGCTGCAAAGGCTGGGCCGTGCGAGCGTCTTCAGACGCGGTTTGAGTCCTGTTCAGATCGTGCGGTGGCTTTGGGAGTTCTTCCTTTTACTCAGTCTCAGCTGAGATGCTGTTTCTAGCAAGCTGGTGCTGAGTCTTGCCTTTTTTTGTGGTACCCCGGATTCAACATTAGTATTCGCGAGGCGCTCTCAAGCTGTCGTGTCCGAAGTTATTAGTTGTTACTTGTTTTTAGGGGGTATTCATTGGGCGCCATATTTGAGGGCGCTGTTTAAAGCGCATGCTCAGAGCGAACTCACAATATAAGGCTGCTAAGACCAGTGTTAAAGGCGTTACCGAAAAAAGTAACGAAATACGTTACTCGTTGCTTGCAAGTAAAGGTAACGCGTTATTGACTTACGTTACCTCAATATAAAAGGAACGCGTTACCATTAACGTTACCGATAAAAAGTAACGCAGGTATTTTCGCGTTACTTCTTTAATTATGAATTAACACGTTTTACTGTTTTGACGGTACAGGTAT